TGGCCGTTGAAAGTGAAAAGTTTGCCAAAGTGCGGGGAGGTAAATCATACAAAAAATAAAACACAAAAAAAAGGAAAAACCAGCTCACAAAAAAAATCGAGAAAAACCCCCCTAAGAAAATTCGCGTCAAAACAAACGCCGGGAAGAGAGTAAAAGATTCATTAACTTGTTAGCTTCTGTTTCAGGTCATTTTCCGGGATTCCCCGTTCGGGTTTTTTCTTTTTATTCTTGTTTACACTTGGCAAGGGTTAAGTATACGCCAAGTTGGCTTTCCAAATAAAATAATAATAACAGAATTAGGCAGAATTATTTACTGCTATTTGCAGGGTAATACTATCATTGTTTGGGCAATTTAAAAATACAAAATGGTATGGTATGGTATGGTATCTTGTTTTAACCAAAATCTTTATTTAACTTGAATTCTAGTTTCATATACTTAAAGTATACTTTAAAAATAAATAAGTAATGAATAAATGGCACCCACTAATTCGATTTTATTCACACCTTTGTGATTTCCCTGCTCGTAAAATGAAAACCGAAATCAGAAAAGCCAAGCTGGTTAATAAAAGTCAGCGAATAACAAGCAAGGCATTCACACTTATTCGCTTTTTGTGCCAGTGAAAAAAAAACTTTAAAAATTAAAAAAGTCGGCAAACAAAAAACGGAACAAAAGCCGAAAGCCGAGTGGAAAACAAAGGCGGGTGCAAAACAATTCAGTGGGATGTGAAAGGGGCGAAGGGGGGCGGACACACAGGACTCCCAGGACTCGTAGGACTTCCCAGGACATGCAGGGCTGGCCAAAACGGATGCACCTAGCGAGACAGTTTGGACCAAGTCCTGCGGATCGGAGTCCTGGCCCTCGGTTTTTAGTTCCAGATTCAGATTCAGATTCAGTCGCCGTCTAAATTCTCAGAGTCGCCGCAGCGGAAGTAACTCGCTGAGCGCTGTTGTGGCTGATTATGCTGCCAGTGGCAGTAGTGGGAAAAGGGCATAGAAAAAGGGGGTTCCAGTGGGGGTTTTTGTGTTTTTTTTTTCGAGCAGAAAGGGGGACCGGTGTCTGGACCATGTGAGCAAAGCTGGCGTCTCTCCCGCTGAGCAGCCCAGAACGGGCCAGTTTCAATTTATATCCGCCATGTCCTTGCCCCCCGCGAGCATTCAAATCCAGCAGTTCCCCCTTCTACACCGAAAGAAAAAGTGACAAAACTCATACCAGCAATTTGAAAATATTCCATGAATCACTTGAGCTTTAAAGGCAGCGGAAAAGTATTTCAAACATCTTTACAGCTGTGAAAACCACAGTTTATGGCTCATTATACCATAGAACTCTGATAAAGACCTGATAGGTTATAAAACGATATGCCAAATGATAATTAACAATTGAAATATGCTCTACTTTTCGAAAATTGGGTTTAAATGTTGCCATATAATTCTGAAAACTAGTAAAAGATTTAATTTAAAATTGTAAAAGTTCGTTCTATTAAGATTAAATTATAAAATTCAAAAGCCAAGGGTTTATAAATATATGTAACGGGTAACTATGAAAATAAACATTTTCTAATCTAATAAAATTTCAAAATACCAATATATGCAATTAAAATATAAACTTACGAACATTGAGATAATGATAATGAGAATGTTTTAGGAAAATTCAAAGAAATGCTTATAAATATGTGACATTAATGTAATGTAATATAATTTTGAGATAATGATAATGAGAAAGATTTAGGAATATTCAAAGAAATGCTTATAAATATGTGACTATTATTTAATTAAATATTAGATTGTAGCTTTATCTTAGTCTTGAGACCAGTAGCTAGTAAACGTTTCTAGCCCATAACTTTTAGGACATTTTTCCCTATCTGTGTCCTATATGCAAGCAGTTTAATTATACATAAATACGAGAGTTGGCATTCCGCTCGGAGATCCCTATTCCCCTGCCCATTCTCCATTCTCCCCCCTTTTGGGAGCCAACATCCAAAACTGCGGCCGCAGCTGGACAAAAGTTTGACGTCCACATGACGACACGTTGACACTGCGGGTGCAGGACCCTCGGGGAGTGGGTGTTTTGGGTGTTTTTTGGGAGGTACGGGGTGATATGGTATGGGTATGGAACGGGGCACCTCTGTTATTTGTTATAACAATTGCAAACGGCTGAAAACGCGAGGAGGACGTTGCCATGGCGAACGGGAGCAGGATAACAAAAAAGGCGGCAGCGGTCGCCTGGTCGGTCGGTCGCTCATTTAATGGACACTGTTTGGTCGATAATCAAATTAAAAGAAAAACCCAAGGTACCTAAAAAGGCTAAAGCTTAAATTGGTAAAAAAAAAAAGAAAAAAACAGCCACACAAAAAAGAAGAGAAGGCGCCAGGACGACCGTGAGATGTCCACCCATTGGAAAAAAACAAACCCAAAACCCCCTGGTCAGTCATTCAAAGCGGGGGGTTAAGGGTTAAAAGTTAACAGCGGGTTAAGTGTGGGCACGTGGGCAGGTGCATTCGGTGTACCCAGAAGCCAAAAGCGTGCCGCTCGATTAACGCTGACCATATAGAATCGAACCCCATCCCAAAATCCCCATACCAGCCAGGATGTTTGTTCACCCAAGCTAAACGGACTGCAGGATATGCAGGAATTAACTGGTCGGCAGCTGAAATTTTATTGTTTAATCGAATATTATAATTGCCATCGATTCATTGATTAGTTGGCTGTTTTATTTTTGGTTGTTTGTTTTAGAAACTTATGAAATATCATATCATAATAGAATGGGATGGTATAAGAACCGACTCCAATTGGAAACTCAAGTTCCCAAGATCATCCTACTTTCTCACCCCCTTCTTTGTTGCTTAATCGAATACAATAATACAATATTCTGGTTAGTTTTTTTTAAAACTGATGATATATCATACCATATCATAATATTAAAAGCTCTTTGTTGGAATACATGTAATGGTATAAAAACAGACTTCATGGTACCTCAACTTCCCAGGATTTGCCTACTTTTTCACCCTCTCTATTGTTAAATCGAATATTATACTATCATATCATAATACATATGGGATGGTTTAAGAACCGACTCCAATTGGAACCTTAAGTTCCTAAGATCTCCCTACTTTTTCACCCCTTCTCATTTAACACCCCTCCCATTCCATACCATCGCATCCATTTTAGGCACTCTCAATAACTTGTCGTACATGAACATTGCGACTTGTTCTCGGAAATTACTCATCAGGCCCATTGTACCACAACCCCCCCGCAGCCACCCCATTTAACCCATGTTCCCGATAAGAAGAGCACCCATGGGCGGCATGACGAAATGCTGTAAAACTCATATTGTTTTTGTTGCTGCCGGAGATCAAAAAGATTCCCACTACAAGAAAAATGTCAACAAGCGAAAAAAAAAATCGTGAGGGTTGGGGTAAAAAAAAAACAAAAAAAAAAAGAATCGAAATTGAAATTGTAGCAATTAATTATGATAGAATGGATATTGGGGGGATGGGTGGGTGCGCTGGAACGGGACTAACAACAGCAATTTTGGGGACAACAGATATCGATAAGGATGGGTTTGTACCACTCCGGGTCCGATGCTCTCCATCTGGAAAACACGTCCAAGCTCCGATCGTCAGCAATTAGGCCTTTTCTTATCACACACACACTATATATTACCTGGAAAAAAAGGGCGGCAGAGCCACCCCGCTTTGTTGATTTTGATTTGTAAGACAAATAGACCGAAAACGAAGAGAAAAAACCCAGAACAGCAAACAACTTTGTGAGCAATTAAAATTGTTTGACGACATGGGGATGGGATCGAGAGGGGCTCCAAAAGGCGGATATCTATACAACTGGGGAGTGGGCAACTGGCCGAGTCAAGTGCGTCATTGTCCACTCGCTCTGTGTTGCTATCTAGATAAGATTGATAACACTGCTTGCTCACTCGGCAAATGGAAAATCTGTGCAAAAAAAAACAGCTTACCGCCCGCGAACCGGGCCCCAAAAAAAAGCGAGCGAAAAAAATGAAGTTATGACTTTATGGCGCGGGACAATCCATATTATAACAATGATATGGATATGGCCAGGGCATATGAGTGTGGCCCGCTATACCAGCTTTTTATGGCTTTACGGCCCTGATTTCCCTTTGAACTAAGCCGTTTTCCGACTCCTCCACTCGACCAGTGTCCAAATAATCGCAAAAATTGGTAAGATATTTTCAAGGAATGACCACGGGGAAATACGGCAATTTCTTAAAACAACAATCGTACGAAGGTAAAGCCAGTGGAAATAAAAGAAATCTGAAAAATCATTGCAAAACACACCTAGGCGGGCTCTGATTTAGGCATGGCGATATCGCCGCGATAACTCGACTAGATACAAAACAAAAAAAGAGCGAGCTGAGGAGACCTTCCATATGGCAACGAAGAGGGGTGCGGATGTACGATAGGTGTGACATGGTCGACTGATATGGCCTGACCATAGGCAAACACATCCTAATTGTCTGGCAAGTGGGTGGTATGGATGTGGTGACCCCAATATTTGTAGAAATGTCCAGTTATAAAGTCCCTATCAGTACCAACATGATGATAACTGTATTACCTTTATATGGTAAAGATTCAGGTGTAATATTAACAATATTGTTGAGTGGTCAAGTCATCTCAAATAATTTGGTGACCCCGATTTTTTCACTTCAGGTTGTTTTTTAATACATCTAAAAAATAATACATCTGAAAATCAAAGCTATATTAAAACTGATGCTCTAAATAAGCCTAATCGAAATCAAACTACTTAAAAAGGCTTTAGAAAAAAAAATATATATCCCAAAATGATTTTATCAGTTTTAAAGCCCTTTAAAATAATACATTTCCCACGTTCCATAGCCCATAATAATTTCATCAGCACCTGACAAAAACTTCCATCAGCTGTTTGAGCTTTGCAGGAAAAATAGAAAAAAACCTCCCAATTGGGATGTCCCAGCTGGAAAAGTTTACCATCCCAATCCCACTTCCACTTACCTTGTGCAATTCGAACCGCGGGCATTTTAATTCTCATTTTTGTTTCCAGTTTCCGAAGGTGTTTTTCAAACTTCCCAGACACAGGCACACAAACCCAGCGAAGGGCAATGTCCTGCCGATCTCGTTTATAAGGTTCTTCAAGTTACTGTTTTACTACTCCTCTTCCTCTTCAATTATTTATATTGCACGTGCCTCGATTTTTTTTGCTTATTTGGTTTAAAAATAATCACACATTCACTAATTGGAATCCTCTAGCTTTTAAATTTTTAAATTTTCTAATCAGACAGCTTCAGTTTGGTTTTTGGGGGCTTTTCCAGGGCTGCCATTTTCAAAAAAAAAAGTATTAGATATTAGTAAAACACTTGTCACTTGGGTTTTTCTTCCTCTTTCCGTATGACTTTTGTGATCTGTGATTTTAACTGTAGTATAGGAACCTTTTCCACGGGGGCGCTCTTTATTTGATTTCTTAAAGGATTTTTTGTTTGTTTGGCAGTTTTGTTGTTGTTGTTGTTGTCACAAACGCACCCGGCTTTGTATTTGTATAGGAAAAAAATGGAAAACCAATTGGCTTTTTTGTGGGCTGTATATGTAAAACCAATTGGATTTTGTATTTATTTCTTTTATTTTTTTTTGATAACACACGCCGGAGACACTTGAAAAAAATTGCACAAAGTGTGTTTATGTATGTATTTTTGATTTAGTTGAGTATGTAATTTGGTTTATATTTCATGTATTTTTATTTGTTTGTTTTTGTTTTCGGGGAGTTGGTTGGATTGGCCGCGACGGCTAACGGTAAAAAGCGGTGTTTTTTTTTTTGGGGTTTTTGGCGGCGTTTGTAGTCTAGCGGTTAGCAGCTCCGTTTTGTGTGTGGTGCTAACGGTAACGGCGGAAGTACGCGACTACTTGCGACGTTTTAGCGGCGAGCGCGTCTTCGCTGCCGCTGCTCTCGGCGGCGTCGCTGCTGCAGCGCGGCAGCTTTTGTCCAGCGGGCAACAACAAAACAGCGTGCGACAAAGCACACAGACAAGCTCACACACGCCACACAGGCACACACTTGAATAACGGACAACCCACACGGGCGAACGCGAGCGAACACGAACGAACGCGAACGAACGCGTTGCAAGCGAGCACGAAAGCTTGCTTGAAAGAGAGCGCCACAGCGCCAGAGAGAGACAGGGAGAGAGAGTGCTAGAGAGAGAGTGGCGACTCCAGAGCAAGCTTGAGCTTAGGCGAACATGTCCGAACGCGACGATGTCCTGCGAGCGACTGCAGATAATTCAATTTTATTTCAGGCTTTTGCACTTTAATGCCAATCTGGCAATTTGATTTTCGGTCGGCGACGACGACGTCAACGCCGACGCAACGTCGACGCCAACGCAGCCCTTTCTTAACGGTGTTTTTGGGTGGTGCGGCGGCGGCGGCAGTGGTGGTGGTGGGTTGTGCTGTTGTTGTTGTTGTTGGGTGGCAACCGGGCGTTTGTTTATTTGCCGCCGGTCATGTGTGTGTGCGTATGTGGGGGTGGACATCGAGCACCCGCTTGCGCGTTAGAGCGAGACAACACTTGCGATTCGCAGGGGTGGTGCCGTTTCGCCTTTCAAACTGGTCACTCTGGTCAATCGAAGGATTCCGGCTCGGATTTACATACAGATAGCCTTGGCTTTGGGAAAACCAGCATTTGCAACCCTCTCGCCGGCAGGACACAGGCACAAACAAGGACAACAACAAAACAACCGCAAGTTCACAGGCGTTTAGGGCGCGCGCGCACCTTTCGCGCGAAAAATCAAAGCATTTAAGGGAGCTTGAGGAAGGATCGCGTTTGTAGGTGACGATTCACATCCGATTACTTACTACTGTAGCTAAAGTTCTGAACGTCAAAAAATGTGTTTTACTTTAAACTTCAAAAATAAATGAACATAAAACCAAAGGCAACCCAAAAAAACCAATTGTTAGTTTCTGTAATTAATTGTTTCAAGGCTAGAATTTATAAAAATTATGTCTAAGCTTGATAATTTAAAACCTTTTTAAAAGTCCATTTTCAGAGTGATTGCGTGTATCTTAAATCTTTTCTGTATGATGTTTTTATGAAAATGTTTTTCAATTATATTACCGTCTTGTCTAAATATTAAAAGAATATATATTTAATTGTACATATATAGCACAAACTTGTTTAAGAAATAGTTTAGCAAAACTTAAAATAAGCCCCACATTTTAAACTGACTTCTAAATTATGATGCTCTATTAGACCATGTGAATACAACCAACAAGAAAAACTCTTTGCTTAACAAATATTCATATTTCATTGGGTGCAAACATATTTTAATGCTATTGTGTGACTTTGTTTTGTCAAAAAATAGAGTTTCTATATAATATTTTTAATGAGTGTTGTACAAAAAATGTTAGGACTACAAAATATTTAAGATTAAAGAAGTCATCTGTTTTTTTAAACTCAATAAATTTGATTTGTATATCAATAAACAAAGCTAAACTTTAGGAACCTTTACAATCATGTCATTCGCTTTTTGTAAAACGTCCTCGTCGTTCGACTGTCGAAAAGCGTCTGATGGAGCTTCGTACTTATCGCAAGCAACTGGATGCGCCAGCCGAGCCGATGAACTTGCAACTTCCAACATGTTGCAAGCTCTCGGAGATCTTCAAAGGTCATGTGGGTGGGGGGTGGTGGGGTAATTTCTAGTGGCAGCTAGCCATGGGTTAAGGTGCATCCCTGAATGAATGATCTTCCCCCCTTTTTTTGGCCCCATCCTCACACCCTTTCAACCGCAACATCGAACATGTTTGCCCACTGGACCACCCCCTCAACACCCCCAACCACCCAACAAAAAAAAGAGGCAAACAAAACAAAAAACTGGACGTTCTCTGCCGGCGTCGCAGCCGCGGTCGGCGTCGCTGCTGCCATTAATGTCAGGCTCTTTGATATGAGAATCAGCGCACTCTCACATATGAGAGCTCCAATTGTGCGCCAGTGTGTGTGTGTGGTTTTTGTTTAGGTGTGAGTGGGAGTGTGCGTGTGTGAGCGAATTGTTTTTGTTGTTAATTGTTTTGGGTGGTGGTGGTTGAGGGGAAGGGGGAGGGGGGTTGTAGTATAGGGTCCGAGTTTTCATCCAAACTTTTTTCCCCTCTTAACCCGTTCACCTAAGATTTGGTTTTAGATATGGATGCTTATTGCGGTTGATCCAATCTTTTTTGATTCAAATTTACCTATGTATTAATAAGCTAACTCTTTGTTATTTAATTTTTTAACCAACAAAGTATTTTTTATTCAAATTACCTAAAAGTTTTCAGTTTTCATAAACAATATCTGATTATTTTAGGTTCCGCTTAAGTAAGCTAGTAATGATGCAAACCAAGTTTTTGAATGACGAATGTACTCAAAACTAAAGTTTTTCATTTACAGATGATATTTTATGATATGTACGGACACTTGTTATAGACCATGATATAAAACATACTCTTGCATCGTTCTTTTTGCCAAATGACCATTTACAAATATTTAAAATTAATCAGCTATCAATCATTGGTTTCCAAAATGTTGATCCTACGTTGGGTCCTTGGAGATCTCCTAGTTTTTCCGTGTATTACATATATAGCATATATATTGGCGCTCTGGACTTGCACACACACTCGCACGCATTTTCGCACACACACACGCACACATATGTGGCGTCGCACACGCGCGTTCGTCATCGATTGGCTCTCGCACATTTGTTTGACACTCCCCCCCGCCCTCCGCCCACCGCACCCCATCGCCTTAACCCATCCACAAACCAACCCCCCCACCGCCCACCTGCCGCCTCTCTCTCTTTAAGTTGCACACAGGTAGCTGAGAGAGAGAAAGAGAGAGAGGGAGCGAACGGCCGCAAACAGAAAGATTGCGAAGAGAGTGAGAGAGCCACCCCACAGTGGGTGGGAAAGGGGGGCGGCAACAATGTGTGCCACCAAGTTCCAAGGTGAGGGCTAGTGGGTGGCAGGGGGGCGGGAGGGGGCAGGCGGAATAGGGGTCGCCGGGCATCGCCATAACTCTTATCAGTCGAACGGTAACCGCTCACATGGAATAGTCGGTTGGCGGAATGAAATGGAATGGAAAAGGAACCCATTTACTAAGCTATGATACAAAATCGAGGGCTCTTAACTGAATCGAAAGCCATAGCAAATTAAAGATATCCTTACCATTTTATAGAAAATTTCATAGAATTTATTTTAATTTTGTTATTTCTAATTATCTCCAAAAAGCATCAACAAATCATCTAGTTTAAAGAGCCGTCTAGAAGAGCTTAACAAGTTCCTTAAGTTTTTCCAAAATTTATGTTTTAAGACTTTAAAAAAATTTTAAAATGTTCCAAATGGGTTTTTGTTTAAAATTGTTGGTTAAGTTTTGTAGACCAAATATAATAATAGTTTCCATTTAATTAAGTTGAGCTCAAATCATTCTCAAAGTGGCAAGGGATCATATAAGAAAAACGTATAATTTATAATACATATAAGACTATATCATACTAATATCATTCTTTTAAGAACTTTTCAGTAATCTGGGTTGTCACCTAAAATTATAACTAACTGACCTGATTCGACATAAACATATTACGTCAAAAGGTAAAACCTTGTGGGGGTGGCTACGTCTGCCCCTTGCAAGGCAGTTATGCGGATGAGATTCCGATTCCAATTCCGATTCGGCGAGATCAAAGGATCGTGATGGAGGGTTAAGGAAGGGAGGGTGGAGAGTCGCGCAATTACCCGCGAATCCGAAAGGCGAGTGCGAATTTGTCAGACTTGCGATTCGCGACTTGAGAGGAACCTTCGAAATTGCAACGTACGCAATCATCGGGGTTACACTTACATTACACATGCATGCACTGGGAAAAATGAATGGTGTATGTTATAAGATGCAAGTCTCCTGATATACAATATTTCTTAAAGCTTTAAAGTTTGATTAAAGCTTAGGAACTCCATTTTTATTTGATTATAACTGGAAAACTATTAAGCCAAATGATATGAAAATTGGTATACACCATTATTATAATGCAAATTTTAATAAATAAATATATTTTCTAGCAATTACCAACTCTTTCAATAGAAACTAAATTTAATGAAGGCTTAAACATATAAAAAAAAACTGTCTAACAGTATGGTAATTTTTTGTGATAAGTTAAATTCATTTCAGGGGCTAGCCCAGATATTTTTTTCAGTGCATATTCATACCTTTAATATATGCAGATGGAGGCCCGGCTCCGTCAGCTATCGATGGACGCCTGCTCTAACCGATCCGATCCAAAGCAAACCGATCCATTGTCGGCGAGATGTGAGATTTTCGCTTCCATTTTTGTTATTTCTTGGCAAAGGCAAAACCGAAAACTGAAAATAAAAACAAAAACTGAGAAAAAACAACACAAAAACCGCCATTAACAATAACGAAAATTGCAGAATTGCCGACAATTACAAGGGGGTGGCGATTTCGGCGGCGGGACGGGGAGGGGCGCTTTCAAATTGCATGTGACATATGCAAGGCGGGAAAGTAAGGCAGAAAAAAAGGAGAGGAAGCGAGGCTTGAGATTTAGAGTGCACTCCGAAAGTGCAGTTGCAACTGGAAGTTGCAGCAGGAACCCGCCAGCAACAACTGCTGCATCATTATGTCAGCTGGAGGTCCTGCGGCTGCCATCTCTTCACCACCAAAAGACCAGGAGACCCAGGAGATCCGAAGACCAGAAGACCAGAAGTGTCGGCAAATTGCCCCAGAGAGCCCCTCAATCTGCTATCCATCATCGACGTGGCCAGCACACTTGGCCAACGGCCAATGACCACTTCGTAGTTCTTGGCCAGCTCCATTAGCTCCGTGATTGCCGCACGGCTAAGTGGCCATCTAGCCAAGTGGCTAGCCGCACTGCAAAAAATAGCTAATTAGTCCTTATAAAATTGGGAAAATAAAACTTAGGATTCTCTTCTGAATTAGACATTGTAGATTGACTTTATATCTTTAAAAAATAGAAAAGCTGAACATTTTTGATAACATAGGAACAAATAAATCAGTCAGCATTAAAAATAAAAAAAGTTCCACAAAACTTGTCAATATAAAAAAAAAATTTTTAAATGATTGTTAAATTTTGCCTTTAAAGTAATATGATTTATCCTTCATAGAAAGTAATACCTACACTTATAAGACTTAAGATCTATTTAGTAAACGAAACCTCTCTTTATTTTCAACAAGCAAATCATTCATAGGTAAAGAAAAAAATTTTTTTATAT